GTATTAAGCTCAAAAGTGGGAAGTTGATGCGTACGTTGGGCGTACCGAAGGGTACTCTGCGCATACGCAGAATTGGCACCAACACCTCGGACCTTAAGTACGCCCTGCGTACCTCCGGAGTACCCCCCCGCGTACGAAGCCTGAGTTGACTCGGCTGTGTTGACTCGGTTGACTTGTGAATTTTGACCAGTTTTGTTTAAGGATATTTTGGGAGAAAATGTTATTAATTAGAATAGGAAATGTTTGGCATTTAGGATTGGGTTGATCCGGTTGTAGGAGCCGGGAGCTATTCAGACTGCATTCAGACTGTGAAGTGAGTCTTCCTCACTGTACTTACGGGTCGAAGGCACCAAGGCCGGCCCATTGGATTGATATCCTGGTTTATCGTATGTTGCTATGCTGTAGTGATATGTTAGAGCTATATCCTGGTATATAGGATGTTGTTATGTTGTGGTGATCTGTTAGATCTGTATGACTACCTGTATATGCTAGCTATTGATTGTTATGGTATATGTTATATATGTTGATATGTGATGGTATATTGGGTTGAGGCGGTCCTGCTTTGTGCTGAAGGCCAAGACACCCAGGGTGGTTCGGATAGACTGAAGGCATGCGAGGCGGACCAGTCAGGCCAAAATCCCGAAGAGCGGTCCAGATAGGCTGAAGGCCCAGTGAGGCGGTTCAGTCATGTTGAAGGCTTTGTATGCATGTTGTTGTTTGTTATGTTTATGTGGTGGTACTTTGGGGGAACTCACTAAGCATTGGCTTACAGTTTTAGTTTTGTTTCAGGTAATTCTGAGGACCATGACAAGTAGAAGGCGTGACTGTATACATCCTTGGTTTATGTTGATTGGATCTTGGGATACTCTCATTTTAAATAATGTTTTAGAAACAATGATTTTGTAAATAATTCTTTTTAGTAAATGGGTTGTTTTGAAAAGTTTAAATTTTTTGTGATTTTTTTAGATGTTACAAGAAGTAACCCTAGGCTATCAGGCATCATATATCAGGCAATTTTATCATCTAATTCCTGAAGATCCCTAGCCTATAACTAGCATTGTTCTATTATAAACATCATATCACATAGCAGTGTGGTAACTTGGGGTATACTATTTTGCTTCGGCTGATCGTACACATCGCATCCTTCCTTGTTTATTTTTGAAAACCAATTTTAAAATTCTTGCAGTTCCTTAGTTTGAGTCTGGATTCACACAAATGTTCAGCCAATTCTCTCAAACCAAGGCTCTGATACCAACTTGTAACATCCCAAAAAATCATTAAAATTTAAAATTTTCAAAAAAAATCCATTTCAACCATAAATTGTTTACAAAACCATTTTTTCAAAAGTATAAACACGATCAGAGTTTTTCCCAAGATCTAATATCATAAAAACAGGAAGATGTGTACGATCACGCCTTCGTTTTTTCGCGGTCATCAGAAGTACCTGAAACAGTAAACTGAAATTGTACGCCAAAGCTTAGTGAGTTCCCCCAAAGTACCATGACACACACCATATAATAGCATAAACTGGGTCCACGGCTAACAAACTGGATTACCCCTGAGCCCAGAGTATGAGTCCGGCTTGCCTTTCAGACCCACAACTCATATTTGGCTTGCTCCCGATTCCACATCTTAATTTTGTCTTGCCCTTCGGACCCACAACTTATGTATGGCTTGCTCCCAGGTTTGTTGGTTACCGCACGAAGCAGTACCACCTCAACCCAACCAAACTATGTCGATATATACATAACATATAACATATATCCAGCAAACAGATAACATATAAGTATATAACCAATCATCAGACAAACAAGCAGATCTACCGATCACTATCGCATTGCAACATCCTAGACCAGAATTCATGATCTATTGGGCCGACATTTGTGCCTTCAACCCCAAGTACAGTGAGGAAGACTCACCTCTCAGTCAAAACAAATAGTTAAATAGATCTCTACTCCGAATCTCAGCTCTACCCGTCACCTATACCCTTAGGTCAACTTGGTCAAATACAACTCAAAATACCCAAAATACCCTTAGGTCAACTTGGTCAAAACTAGTCAAAGGTCAAAGTCAAAAGTCAACCTACAGCTGACCGCCACGTCATGACCTTCCTTGGCCACGTCGTGGCCATAAAATGCCAAAACAGACGGGCCTTAGCCCGGTCGCCAAACCATGGTGGTCCAGACCACGCTGTGGTAACTGTTCCCCGAACCTCTCAATTGAATAAACTGATTTCTTCGATCTCAGGGGCTCCAAAGCCCAAATCTGGTCTATTCTGGGGTCTAGATGGGTAAAGTTCTACTTTATCCCTTAAGTTCATCCAATGAGTAAGGATCTCAAATTCTAGGTTCAAAAGAGAAAAATCCTAACATGGCTTAAACATTAAGCTCCTAATCCTTAAAGAACTTTCTTCTAAAACTCAGTTTTGATCCCAAATAACATTCTAATTCATAAAGTTTCCAACTTTATGACCTTGCATGGCCATAAGGTGACCAAATCATAAACCCTAACATTTCACAATGCTACATGTCACCAAATGCATGCATGGAGGAAAGGAAAGGGTCAAGGTTCTATTTTTATAACTCTAAACACCCCAAAACATCTAAAAAGGCAACTCATTTGGTCTTGAGTAGTCCATACTCATATAGACCAAAATATGGGACCAAAAGCACATACTTTCTAACATTAGCAAGATCTAGAGAGATAATCATCAAGTTCAGAACTTTATACATCCTGGAGGTTTCTCAAGAAGTGTCATCTCAGATCTACAAGGCTTGCAGCTCCCTTCTTGCTTTACAATGATTTCCTTCCCTCTATAATGGATACCAAACACCAAAATGAGCTCAAAACACCACCAATGGAGATTAGGGTTTGAAAGGAACGGGGTGGGCAATGGAGGTTGATGAGGGTAAAAAGGTCTTGAGGGTTAATGATGCTTAAATATGGTGCAAACCCTAAAAATTAGGGTTTTTCTCCAACAGCAGCTACCACGATGTGGCACCTATTGCCACGTTGTGGTGGAACTCCACCACGCCGTGGCCACCCAAAAAACATTAAACTTTGAAATTTAGATTCATACCTGGAATGAGTTTTACAATTTACCCTTATATAGTTATATTTAATTTGATGTTTAATAATAGTTAAAGTGTTAATTTGAGAATCATCAAGATTGAAAGTGTAAATGGCCCCAATGAATTTTTTAAAAGAATAATAGTTTAAATACATGAATTAATATGTAATGATACATAATTTCATGTTGTCACTGAGAACATGACACCGGGATATGGGAGAGAATCGGTTATTGGGAGGAAGACGAATGTGTTTGTATATGTTTTAAAAAAAAATGAGTTTGGTTAGAGGGTAGCATCGTAAAAAGTCAGGTCTTGTTGGATAAAGTCGCTCTTGTAATATCTCTCAATGGAACGTATCACAATATATTGTCCGTTTTAGGCCACCTAGCATGAGAACTTCGCAATAGGTCGCTCATCCTTTAAATGCTCTCGCATCGGGACGCTTAAATGAGAGTTCTTATCGGATCTACTGCCCTCTTAACTTCAAATGTGTTGTGTTAGGGAAGGTATCTACACCCTATAAGGCAATGCTTCGTTCTCCTTCTAAACTGATGTGGGATCAGGTGCAAGTAGCCACACACCATCACCACCTTTACATGGTTTGATGTCACCTTCAAACACATCGACACCTTCCTTAGCTAGGATACCATTTGTAACATCTCTCAATGGCACGAATCACAAAATTGTCCGTTTTGGGCCATCCGACACAAAAAAACTTCCTAATAGATCACCCATCTTAGAATTTCTCTCGCACGAGCACACTTAACTACAACGCTCTTATGAGATATGTTGCCTTCACGAATTTAAGATGTGTTGTAATGGGGAAGGTATCCATACCCTTTATAAGGCAATGCTTTGTTCTCACTCGAAGTCGATGTGGAACCAGGTGCAAGCTGTAGCCACCGACCATCAAAGTGAAACACCCATCACTAAGGTAATTTAAAATATCATTTTTTAATCTCGAAAACTTTTTGTTTAAGTTTGAAAAAATCATACGATCCCATAATCCAAAATAATTTTAAAAATTCAAATTGTGAGTGTGTAACAATGAAAATATCATAACATCGTTTAATAAACCACACATGTCGTAGCTTTCTCAAAATTCATTATTATTTCTAGTCTCGTCACTATAGTCTTCAACCAGGGCACATGTCAAAATAAGTTAAGCAATGAAATATCTAGTGAGAGGCCGATGTTGATTCATTTTGATTAAAAAAAATAACAATCTACTTATTTGAATCAAACTTCCGAAATCACGAAAAAATCATAAATCAAATTGGGGTGCTTATAACCCAAAACAACGAAAAAAAAGGGTAATATATAATCTATATCTCTCTAAATGCAATCAAGGCTAAACATTAGTTAGCGAAGAACAACAAATCATCTCAACTTCCAAAAAAGGTAATATTGGATTCAATATGCAATATAATGTAATCATGCGTCTATTCCCAACCTTTGTCCATCTCATAAATTTAAACTCACCAAAGTATATGGTTAATTATCAAGCTTATGATATAATTTCCTCAATTTTGCTCATTTATAAACTAGGCACTAATGAACCATCACACTATCTCATACAAGGGATAACTAGCTTACATGTGAAACATGAAGATTATATATAAATCTACTCAAATACCGACTTAATGGCATCTCATAAACTCCAACTCACCAAAGTAGATGGTTAATGAGACACTTTCCTCCATTTTGGTATAGAACAGGCACTCGTAAACCATCACACTGTCATACAATGGGTAACTAGCTTACATGTGAAATATGAAATTTATCTAGAAGTCTACTCAGATTGGAACCATAACTTTACCCATTTAATGTTTAATTTTTATGTCGTATAAATCAATTTAATTAAACAGATTGAAATATACGGCCCAACCATTTATTTGCATGTCGATATTATATGGTATCGAGAATTATCGCCCCTTATTTTTAAATACCTAAACAAAAACTAAAACAAAAGTTTTGAGAGGGTCCTTTAGTATTTAACTATATATCCTCTCAATGGATTTTACATTTTATATCTCAAAAGACATGACAATTATCGATGCAAGCTACTAGCTAGAAGCAAACCTCACTACTATTACGAGAGTCAACATTGACCCAATTCACCATTAACAGCCCATAGAAACCCTAATCCTCTTAAACACTTCGACTTACAACACACACTCATTTTATTCCTACAAACTTCAACCTTCACAACAACACAATCGCAGCAATTTCAAGGGCACTTTGGTCTGCCGCCGTGAGTTTTCATATTGGTGTAGCAGGTGCCGCAAACCTCTTTGTTGCCGGACTGACCCGGCGGAACACATTTGCACCGATCACAGCATGTCACACAAGCTCTCAGGCACACATTCTGTCTTGAATGATTCTTGCACCTCACCAAACATGGTGGGTAACATTCTGCAAAAGTAAAAGTACAGATGGAAATTAGAATCAAATGAAGAAATACAGTGTTTGAAAAGGCCAAAAGACAGTACCTTTGGTGTTTCTTGGTGGGGTTGGTGGGGCGGCGGTGGGTGGCTTGGCGACCGGTGGGGCGGTGGTGGGTGGCTTAGCAACTGGTGGTGTTGGGGTTGGTGGTTTAACAATTGGTGGTGTAGGGGTGGTGGGTGGTTTTGCAACTGGTGGTGTAGCCGTGGGGGGTTTAGCAACTGGTGGTGCAGGGGTGGGAGGTTTAGTCACCGGTGGAGGAGGCGACGTTGACACTGGTGGTGGTGGTGGTGAGTTTTTTGGGGCAGGGGAGGTGGCGAATGCAGCCTGTAGAACGTAGAAACCAAAGCTTGTTCAAAAGATGTAACATTTTAAAAATAAAAAAATCGATTATTATTTGTGTGGATAAAAGTAAAAAGACTATAAAGTTATAAAATATCTAAATTTTTTTTATTATTTAGTACATATTTGAAATGGGTTTGTAGTTAAAGTCACATGTGATTGTGACTACTCATATCATCTAAAATGGAATAATACATGATTACATTTGTTTCTTTTTTACCTCTCAAAGTGAACATATAGAGATCTTTTCAGCATATTTGGTATATATAAATCCTAGGTTAAATTTCTATAACGTTCAGTTTTTTGGGGTCAAATGACTAAATTAGCCCTGAAAGCATGATGAGTATAGAACAAAACCACACAATGAAGTTCAAGAACCAAGATATCTTTTTGTTTTTGAACAGCACAGATATCTTAAATTTGCTAAATCTTGTTTTTATTCTTTTTCTGGTCATTCTCTTATCTTTACTTCCAAGATCTATAAGAATCCAAAAATGGGTACAACCAATGATAAAATATGATCTGAAAACCAAAAAATAAATCATATTCCAACAAGATGACAAACATTTCCAAATAGATCTAAGCTTACCACTTGTTCATTGGATGAAATCTATCGAAAAGGAAACAAAAAGAATAATGAGAAAGTTATAAATAAGAATCTAAATCGAAAGTGGATCAAAGTAAAGAAGCTTACAGAAGTAGAAACCAGAAGAAAAGAAGCAAGAAGGAAGAGATGAAGTTTCATAGCCATGTTGATTGTTGAACCTCAAAGCTGAACCTTGAGTGTTTGGGGGGGGGGGGGGGGGGGGGGGGGGGGGGATGTACTTGATGGTTATGGAGGGTGTGGACTGCAGATGGTATAAATAGAAAGAAAAAATTATCTGGATGAAAGTAAATTAATTTTAAATATATCTTGCTAAATATGGTGATTTCAAGAGAAACTCATAAAAAAATGGGGCACGTATTCATTTAACAAAATGATCGACGTTTATATAATTTTTTTTTATTTGTGGTTATCAATTTCTCAGTGAGTCAAATGTGAAATTATGGACCCCACTAAATTATTTACCGCAGTTTTGTCTCTGACATTAACTTAAATTCAATACGGAAAACTCATATTTAAGGATTGATACTTTTGAAACCTATATGCATATGTAGATAAGGCTGAAGTTATATTTTTAAAAAATAACTATTTACTATGTAGAAATTTCTGTGTATTTTATCTTTAGATATTTCAATTGGACTGATGACTTTATCATTTATGCACCAATTTTAGTTTGTTTAACTTAGCAATGTAAATCCATGGGTTTACACTAAAATAATATCACATGACAATTTAGTGTAATCAATATATATTGAGTTTCAAATGAGACTTAGATCGTAATCTAATACAGCTCAAGTGTTATGAACTGAATTTTGTACGACTCATATATAAAATCAAAATATCAATAAAAAATAGTAAATTTTACAAGATTCATTAAGATATCCAAAAAACCATTTTAATTATCAAAATAACATTTACCCAGTAATATGCGGAACAGATCTCATTTAGATGATTCCAAATAAATAGTCGAACATACACGTGCCAAATATTCGTGTTTTGTATCATAGTTAGACCATGGGCCCCTAACTAAACAGATTGCCATTTGAAGGAAATTTCGGTCCGATTACTTTTTATTTCATAACGTCAAATGGATACAAGTAAATAGTTAAATAAAAATAAATACATGAAAACTAATCTAAAATTTATAATTTTTAAAGTATAATACTTATAACTTCTAGGTCCTTCCTTTTTACCACATTCCAATGGGATCTCAATGTTTGTTGTTATTATTGCACTTATATGTTTAAAGTTTTAATTTTTAAAAATATTTATTTAACATTATATATTAAAAAGATTATATGAGTAATATGACTATGAGCATGTTAACAGATTTGTTAGATCGTCTATTTTCTCACCTATCTCACAATACAGTTATGATCTTGTTATAATCATTGGAGAATATATTAATAACATTGGAATGAAAATTATTTAAAAAAATAGAGTACATTGCACGTAAAAATGATTGTGTTTTCTGTCAACCTTTACCTTAACAAATGTCTTCTCAAATTATATCTTAGGATCCCTTATAAGTTATTTTTTCAGGTTAATGAGCTAAAAGGGTAACGGAGTTTGGTTTTTATCTATATTTAAGTAATTATATTTTTTTCGTATAGGTTTGACTAATAAACTTTTTGAAATATTCATAATAAGATAATATCTCTAGTAATTACAAATAATATTACTTTATTTTGAACAGATGAAACATGTAAAAAAAACAAGATTATCTAACAATTGACAAAAGCTAAAGTTTGTTACTCTTCTAAGTCATCACCGTTATGATTTATAATCAAACAAATGATTCCTTTATATATCCAAAATAAAAGTTGATTTTTGTTATAACATAAATCTTAAGATGATATATTTGTTTTTTTAGAACGAAAGACATATTTTTAAAATCTTATTTCTAAACTATATATGTTTTTTCACCACGTTAAACTCTCAACTAAAAAAAAATGTTTTGAAACACATTATAATACCGCTAGATCAAATGTTTTTTGGTTAAGACAATACATTTTCAAATTAAAAATACACTAAAAACAATATTTCTTTCATATATATATATATATATATATATATATATATATATATATATATATATATATATATATATATATATCGGATAAAATATTGCTTGCATATATACTACTTGAGAGTTGGTAGAGTTACTAGACTGAGGACGCAGTAGTTTGGGAGTGGGTAGAAAACCCAGCTGGAGTTGTGGTGTAAGTCAATTGAAATTGAAACATGCCAGCTTTCTTTTCCTTGGGAGACAAAGCCAAAGACCATTATTATTTAAAATAATGCTCTTGGAAACTGTGCTTGAGGTAAATCTCACTCCTTCATGACCCCCACTCAAGATCTATGTTTTTAGATGCCTTCAAGGAACTTTGTCCTAAATCTATAATAATAACACCAAATAAAATATATCTTTTTCACATGTTTAATTACTATTATATTTTTGCAATATATATTACGATTTTTATCTTATGTTTTGCGATTGATAAAACTGAAATATATTTATTAAATTATATAACATTATACGTAATACCTAAAATATTATTTAACTTTTTAAAATGACATCTCACTTACCAATATGTTATATCCATATCTTGTTATACCGGTAGATAAGAAAATATTTCAGAAAACAAGTAAATTCATGTAGCACATATAATATCATGTAGGTAATAAGGAGATATGCTAGTTTTAACATCTACTAAACAAAAAATATAGCATCATCAAGGTGGCCGTAATCATTTGGTATGAAACATTTCAAAATAACAATATTTTATATTCAAATCTCAGAGAGTTAAACCTTAAGATTATATCGTTACCAAAAATAGAGGGCCACATTCTTTATATCATGGTTGATTTCTTTTGAGAATATGGTTACAAATATGGAAAGAATGTAACCATCATAATCTTTCTTTTGATCATGCCTGATAAAACAATATGAAAATTATTAAAATTGATTATTGATTATTAATCAAAGTCATAGGGCCGATCTTTAAGATGGGTAAAACTGATGCATCAGTGGCGATAAATTCCTAAATGATTTAGTGAAGCAGTCAAGCTAAAATGAAGCACTCGACGGGTCTGTGGCTCCATCTCTCTCACTATCTTAGTATTTTGATTTATGATTGTCCATTTTGTAAACTGATTTGCTAATTCTTTTCCGACCTGAGTTTTTATTTCTAATTTTCTAAAGTTGTATCAGCTCTAAATACTGATTTGTGAAATCTAAAGGTCTAAAGTTCAAAAACTGAAAATTGATTTCTCGATCTTCATGACTCTATTCTCTACTATGCGAGTCTCAATCTGATGGTAAGTGAAGTATGTTAATCATTTAATTTTTATTCATTCATCTCTTAAGTTTTTAGGTGTTTGATAAAATGATTTAATTGTACTCATATAAAATTATCGTTTATATTTTATCGCAAGTACAAGTGAAGCAAAAATGTTGAAAAGGTAGATGCAATGTTGGAGAGACACCATGAGCATGATATGGGTGGATGCTTGTTAGGGGTGTCAGACCCAACAAATAAAGGGGTACAATATACTCCAAAAGAATCTCACTATATTGCACTAAAAGGTAGTACAAGGCAAGCAGGGTTGATCCACAGAGACACGGGATAATTAGTCTATACCTCTTTGCGCAAGGTACTATGGTCACCAACAGTAAAGAGGGGGGTTTTGAAAGCAATAATTAAAACAAACAATTAAAAACACAAGTAATCAACTAAAAGAGTGAATTAAATTCAGAAATGGTAAGGACTCCAACCTCATGTATGACAATCCAGCAATGTGAATCAAAGATGACAAGACATTTGTTTCATTCTATCTAAGTTGGTACTTGAAAGTGTTAACAAGCTCTAACACTTTCCATTCACCACATTAATCAATCAAAACAAGCTCTTTGATTAATCCTAACCTTATTAACCTAATCTAAACAAGCTCTTAGAAGTAGATTAAAAGATTGCATTAAGCTTATTGTGAATGTTCCCAACAACACCCAATACTCCTCACAAGCTCGGGAGCGTAAGAATGTGTGAAAAGATTTACACTAAATTCATTCATAAGAAATCAATTTAATGCTTGTTACTTGTTCAATTTCACAAAACAATTACGGATTTTGTAAAAGAGATAACTTGAATGACCTAACCCTAATTCAAATGGCCAATAAGAATCACAATTAGAATCAAACATTCGATTAAATCAAAATCAAATTCACTAGATAGAAATTAAAAGCAAACATCAAGTCATATGATTGAAATCACAACTAAGAAGTCAAGACATGAAGTTGGAGAAACTAGGGTTCTAGCCACACATGGCTAGAACTAGCTCACAAGTTTAAAAGATGGAAATGTATGCAATTACAACTTACAAATACTAGAAATAATGTTTCCAAATGATTGCAAATCAAACCCTTGCAAAAACCTTCAAAAATCCTTCTCCAAATGTGCTCTGATATGTTGTGTGTGTATAAAAATGGCCCTTAACCCGTAATATGAAAGATAGGAAAAACTGTCAAAAGTTGGTTTCTGGGTCGAACACGGCCCGTGTTGGACATAGAGTAAATCTGACACGGCCCGTGTTCAGCATGGTCAACAGCTCACATTTTGGTCAACACGGCCCGTGTTGGACATAGAGTAAATCTGACACGGCCCGTGTTCACCATGGTCAACAGCTCCCATTTTGGTCAACACGTCCCGTGTTGATTTTTCAGTGTAAATCCACACGGCCCGTGTACCCCTCTGACTCCGAATCCAAACTTGATTTTTCCAACTTTTTCGTTCTTCGCCCGCTCATCCCGAAATCTTCACCAATGCTTCCCGACACTTCCCAAAGCGTGTTCCTGTTGGATTAGGTGTCTAAGCCCATAACTATAATTGGTATGTACTTGAATTGATAGCAGCACAGTCCTTTTGGGTTGCCCTCAACCTAGCAACTGGACAAGGAAATTATGAAAGGAGAGATATTAATTTATAAGGTTAATAAATTAATATATATATATATATATATAAATGATTTATTAATATGTTAATGGATTAACATATTAATTAGAAATCATTATGTTTAATTAATTGTTAGCCAGAAATTAATCAGAATTGATTTTGGGGTTAAAAGAATTAATTATAAGGTGCAGGGACTAGTTTGCAATTATCTAATAGTTGAGTGGAAGGCTCTAGAACCCCCTTGGAGAGGGTG